CTCTGAAAGAAAGACTCTGATCTTTCTTTCTTCTTTGTTTGTTTGTTTGTTTTGTTTTACTACGTGTCGCGCACACACTTCTCAATCGGAATAAGAAAGAAATATATTTTCACAAAATAATAATATACAGTCTTTAAAAACGAAATCAAAATTATGTATTAGTCTACTTCCGTATCGATGAAATCCCTACTTGACGAGTATTATATTAATTGTACTGAATTATACAAGTAGTCAATATATTTAGACACACGTGAGTATATCTAGAATATATTCGTACATATACGTTCTAAATGTTTTTGCCCAAGTTCTACGTAATAGAAAGCATCTCTGTCTCGAACGGCCGAAAAGAATGTGAATTATAAAGAGAGTAATTAGTAATTAAAATAAATTTGGTAATCCCAAAGGACAGGAACCCGCTCCGAACACTGCCCGCACGAGGATCCATTACGACTATAAATATAATACACATCGTATAATAATTACAATAATTATAGTAGTAATTAAGAATTATGTTAATAGTTATTTAACCATGTGTATGGTTCAGTCTATTAAGCTAGTCTCATGCAACAACAACAATAAAGATACAACAATATATTTACTTGTGAGTTTGTCGAGTTCTCGATCTTTTTTTTTTATGGTTGTTTATTTCACTTTTACGTGTCTGCTCTAGTTAATTCGTATCTTGTTATTTTTTTTTCTCTTTTTTTTTTTTATACTCGTTCGCAAATCATCATCCCGTTAATATTATTTATCTTTCATGCATACATCTTCGCGCGCACTCGCAATTTTCACCCTATTTGACGATAGAAAAAACTGGAAATTTCGAATATCAATCAACATGAAAATCCACTTTTCACTCCCTTATTTATATATGGTATAATATTTAATATAATATATATATATATGTATATATATTATATGTATAAATAAATCATGGCGGAAAGAATTGTGCGAAAATTCTTTCCTCCATGAAATAGAGACGATCTCACACTGTTGTTTCACGTTTTTTTTTTATTATTTATAAATTTATTATTTCTTAATTGAGAGCTTTCTCGAGTTTATATTAATACATTATCACGAGCCATATATGATCTTTCGACGGGAGAAACGAATAAAATGCGCGTATAAAATCCCGTAGCAGAAACTACACACCAAAAAGTAGAAAAAAAAAAAATTTTTTTATTTACAATCCTCGGAAAGACATGCGACGTTAATAATCTACTATTCTACTGCGATACGAAAAATTTCACGCGACAACCTGAGATCGATGAGATATATAACGAGAGCATTTAATTCTACATCACCGACAGAAATCTTTTATCTAGCTTAGGAACTATCGAACAGGTGAACTATGTAACTTGTGTGTTGAGTAAATTGCCGTGAATCGCTATTACAATTCCTAAATGTAACAAGTCGATGAGAGAAGTGAGGTTTGTTGTGTGATAACACAATATCGAGATTTATATAAAATCCTGTTTATGTACGTACATACACACGTGATACACAAAGTGTTCCATTAATATGATCCAAACTTTTGAGCGCGCATAGATTGCTCATCAGCACAAAATCAGCAAAAATGTCAGCAAACTAATCTGAATCTTATTAGATTCGGATCTTACACGATCAATACCACTGTCGATGTCAACAAACAGCGATGACATTATTAGAATTAAAATAAAAGGCGAATAAAAGAGCCTATATACAGGATTTTAACGTATCAAGTTTTTATTTGTTTATTATTCGACCAAACGTTTCGTTCCGTCGTTGAGATCTTCTTCAGTGATAATATCAGAGATCTTCAAGTAACGAATATTTGAGAAAAATATCAATACTGATCGTGTAAGTTCCGCCTATAAGAAGATGCTATTGTAAGGCAGTTAAGAGTTTTTTCTCGGTTATTGCTGTGTCAGTAAGTTTCGACGACAACAAACCTGATATAAATTTGTTTAAGATGTGAGAATCAACGTGAGGATTAAACGCGTCGAAACATGTCGAAATGGGCGGAAGACACTTTGAACATTTGCTGCGATAAGATACAAGTTTTCTTTTTTATAACTTAGTAACTATAGATTTTTAGATCCATTCTTTGTTAACACTTTTGCTTATTTGTACGAGTATATAGTTTGGCCCATTGTACTTCTGGAACACTTTGTGTGTATATACATATGTATATATACACAGCAGTATTTACATGTATAGAATGGAGGAGTAATTCGTTTGGGGGACAGTTTCCCTTTTTAAACGCTTCCGAGTCGGTCGATGACCAATGACCGAAGGCGGGAGAGATCTCCAATACGAGAGAGAAAAAATCATCCCGCTCTGTACATATACATATTACGCGTTACAGGAGAAATTAAAATTACGTGTAATTACAAGAACTTTCGTTTAGACTCGCCGTCGAATGGCACATGTGGCTCCATTGTGTGTTCTATTTTTTTGTCTTCTTTTTCAAGCTCTTAAGTAATTATAAAAAACAGTAATATCACAAAAATGGCGCAGGCAGAGCAAGGAAAGGGACTTAAAAGTTCAGGGATAAAACTTACGACAATATACATATATAATACCCATATTGCCGAGTTGACGAACGAGTGTGGATTAAGTCAAGGAGCGGCCACGAAATTCGTCCGTTTTCTTTGCGTGGAAAATTTTTTTTCTCTTAGAGACAGCGTATTTATGCTTGCATAAACGTTTTTAAGAACCGGTCTCATCATCTTCGATTGCTTTAATCGGCCGATTGTACTATTGAAATTGACCAATTGCATTAGCAGTTTAGCAGAACTGACCGGAATTGATCAATCACCGTTGACACACTTAATCGACCGATCGGCTTAATCAGAGATGACGAGACCGGCCAACGAATATGCAGAAGCCTTTGAAAATTAAATGATAAAATGCGAAATTATTGACAATATCATCGCACTGATTCTTCTTCAGATTAATCACTTATTGAAGAATCTTGTTTTTGCTCGTAGTTTGAGATTAAGATTTCGATTTTTAATTCTTCTTTCTTGAAGATGTGTCGATCTCGCCTGCGCTAGTTCACTTCCCCGACACAGTCAGTTTTTATTATATATTTCTTCAAAGTTTGATTGACAATAGCGACTCGATAATGGTCAGCTTTTCAATATTGGGTTTTTTTTTTACTTTGTGTTATTTTTCTTACTTAACACGTTGACTGCCACGACGGATCGTGAGAGTAGGCTCGAAGTTTTTTTTTTCAACGTACAGCAAAATTTGTTTTCCTCAAGTATATTGCGACAATCGCGTTTACGTGAAAAACGATCTCTTCTACTCATTAGAACTAGCATTACGAATTCATCGGAAATTAACAAACAAATGGTGGTTTGAGAACCTTTTTTTACGGATTTATTCGGTTTGATAAATAAAAACTGCCAGTTAATCGCGACGCTGTGAAACAATCGATAAATTTTGTGTGGCAATCCACGTGTTAATGACAACATGCACGTAAGAAGGTAAAAAGTAAAACAATTGATTTTTTTTTAATCTTATAAAACTATTCATAAATCGTTTTTGAATGATTTGTTTTGCCGAGATGTATACATACTCAGGTGTCGATAATACATGATATTTTCATCACAGTAGCAAATCCCAAGTTTCTTTTTCTTTTTTTTTTTTTTTCTAAGTAAAGAAGGTTAAAAGCGCATTTAACGTTCAAAGTAAAAGGATTTGCTCGCTCTTTTCTCCACTGGCTCAAGTAATTGGAATGACAAAACCTACTTTTTTTTTTTTTAAACTCTCTTTCTCTCAAAAATGATTTAAACGCAAGACGTTTTCCAGATGGAAACATCGAGATCATTACATCGCGCAAATAAAATCAATGTCACCATAGATTTCACGTCATAGATCCGCTTGCTCTCTGGATCGCATTTAGTGAATCATCTTTCCGATTCCTGACTGATTACCGTTACTAACGCCGAGAGATTTTTTTTAGTTTTTTTTTTTATTTTTTTTAATTTTTATTTTAGCAATCAGTAAAGTTTTGAAATATCTAACATAAATGATCAACAAAAGTGTTCATTCTAAAATGCATTATCTATTATATTTACACTAATGCTAATATGAAATACTAATTTAATATGTTTAACAAAAAAAGTAATCACAAAATAGTCTGCGAGTTAAAACATCTTAAGTTGGATATACGCACATATATGTGTAGAAGATGCGTATAAGTGTGTATATGTACGTATAACATCTGAAATATGTTCTCTATACGATGATAAAGTCGTGTATATAACCTAATATCACAATTAATGAGAGAATAAAATTAGCAGAAAAATTTTGGCTCGAAATATTAAGGAATGGCACTTTCTACGTTATATATTATCTTTTCTCTGTGTTCATTTTTTTTCTTCTTTAACGTATAAAAATACAATATTCTCGAAAAATCTGTACACTATGAAATTTCTAACATACTCTACTTTTTTGTATCATATTTATTATCAAATAAATAGTTCTATATTTGTCTCTAAATTCTCTACAAACACATTCAAAATAATCTCTCGCTCTCACTCTTAAAAAAAAAAAAAAAAAAAAGAAAAAAAAAGAAAAAGAAAAATAAGAAAAAACAGAAGAAAGGCTCGATGTATCTAACGAATAAATTTTCGATCACAGTTTGCGGCGATCTCTATAACGTGAGATCTATGCTTAATCTATGTCAAACTATGTCTGCAAGATATTTTTCATAATAATATACACATATATCTAATTATATCCTGAAACTGGGCCTTTTTATAAGGGTTTTAACCTTGGACACCAGCACTTGTCATTTTTCTGATATATGCAAAAATCAAGTAACACTTTCCATAGTGTTAATACGTAGCGATAATGGAAATGCAGTGTACAGAGCTCGTACATCCACTACACATCAAGGTATCAACAGGATTGTTGTAAAACGATACCTTTTGACGGTTCTCGATGTGGTCGGTGATCTCCACAAAACTCCTCCCCTCCCACCCCGAAAGTAAGTCCCGTCCCCGCCCACCCACGCGTTTACTTTTCCGGCCAGTACTTATTTCTTGTCGTTCTCCTTGTTTTTAAGTTGCTTCTTTCTCAAGAGACTTTCCCGTTTCTTACTTTCGTCGAACTTGAAGCTTATTCGCCGCCGAGGCTAAATGCCCAGCGTGCAACATTCTCCCCAAAATAACGACGATGCATACTACGATGATACGGTAACGACAACGATGTTGGTGAGAAGAGGCCGTGGTTTCACCCACCCGTCCCATTCGCCCATTGTTTCCCACCCAACCCCGTTCGGCCTGCTCCGGTAAGCGGCCTTCTGAAAAGAAACATAAAATCGTCAAATATTTCACTTACACAAAAATGAAAAATGATTGTAATGACATTTTAGTTTACAGCGAAGCCGTTTTTATTTACCATTTTTAGGGGGAGCTATTCAGACACCGTACATATTATGGAGCCGCTCACTGAGCTGCGGTGGAAATTGATCAGAGAAACGCTTCCAGTTTTCTTCACCCACTTGATTTTTGAAAGTGAACAAGATCTAATTGCAAAACAAGTAAAATAAACGTTACATCCATTCCGAGAAATGTTAAAATTCACTTTATACTTCGTTTTTGTTTTTTTGTTTTTTTTTTTCATACTTTTTGAAACATCTCTTTCAAGTCTTCTTTTGGCGCCGACCATGATGCCACAGCATCGCAGAAAAAGATGAAGTCCGGAACAACACCGGCTGGATTGACAGTTATCATTTGACACATGCCTCTGAAGGCAGAATCTTTCTCTTCATTATCTCTTATGCTTCGTAACGAAGTACACCTGTTGATAAATTAACATCCGCAACCTTGTTAAATGTTGTTCGACATCCTTGCTCGAATCGAAGATACTTCGATCAGTAGAAGCATATTCAATGTATAAATAGAAACTCTTTTTTTTTTTACTGTGTCCACCTATTGACTCTAAAATTGCTAACTGTTTACTTGATATAAATATACATTAGTTAGATAATATAATAGAACAATCGAAGTATCTTTTTTTTTTGTTTTCATGTATAATTCTTATGTAAGAGATGTACATATGATAATATATATGATATTTCGGAAAAACTTGGACAACTAGCCGTTTACTTTCATTCCCAACAAGTCATTCTCACAAATAAACTTTTTTCGTTTTAAGTAGCATTTGACGACAGGCGAAACAATCGGCTTACTGTGAGTCCAATGCAATAATAAGCACTCTTCTCAAGAAACAAAACTATTCTGTATCAAAATTTATACATTAATAACAAGAAATTATATTAATTATAGATTAGTATTCTCATTTTGGAGATATACTAATTATAACAAAGATAGATCTCTAATGTATAAATTTGAGGGCCTAGCCTATGTATATGTATGTTTAATTTTAAAAACTATTAAAGTAATGTAAGTAAACAGAGACAAAAAGAACAGATTAAACCTAACCCTAGAAAGGTATGCTAAATAGTTCAACAAAGAAATTGAAAAAACACATTAATACCATAAATCCTCTCTACACATTTGTGTGTATGTAATATAAATTATGATTATAATTAATTTATATTGGGATGTATGTATATATATATATATATATGTATGATTGGCATCATATAGCACTTACTGTCTCATTAAGACTAGATTTACATTTGACAATATGACACATGTTGCATGGTACATTAACAAAATCTGACAAGATGCCAAGTTGCAAAATCAAATTTAGCATATATATACAAAAAGTATTTACAAATTTCCAAAATAACATTTAAAGCAAGATTAGTATTGTAAAAATGACAAATGTAAACCTATCCTAGTCTTAATTATTGGATAAACAGGAACCCATAACACACTTGCATATAGTGACAAAATGAAGATTGTAATTATATATAACACGTTTTCAAATATAAAATGTTATTGTGAAAATACTGCAAAAAACCATTGAGCAAGTTCATGCTAACAACTTCGACAAAGCATTCCATTATTACATGTACTCTTGTTAGGTGTTTCGCCTTTTCTAGTATAAAAAAAAAAAAAAACAAAAGATTTGTTTCACACAAAGTTTTTGCAAAGTGTAATAACACGGTAATAATAATAAAATTTGTATATATCAGTTCTTGCACAAGAGTTCTTAGCAGCCCCTGATGCAATTACTCAGAAAAATCGGGAGTATAATTATGTATAATAATAAAGTGCTAATATAAAAAATATAGAAAGATAATTAATAGAATATAATATAATAAAGAAATTTACACACCACTGGCGGACAAACTGCTGTAACATGGGGGCGACGTCGTGGGGACACACATAACCTAGGCGACCGATCGTTATGGCTACGGTTTCATTTTCGGTTTTCGGTAAGTAGACAAGTGAAGTGTAGTGAAGTGACCGGAAACACAAACAATAAGACAAACTGATAGCGAACCAACAATCGAACTCAGGCGAAGAAGAATTATATATAGCTCTGCTTATAAACTTTAACAAGTAATAACTTTCAATTAATAAGTTGGTCAATTAAGAATCAGAATCAAGTAACATTAACAAGTAATCGAAGACAGTGAGAACACAGGTGAAACATATGAAATACCGACAATGAAACATAGGCAATATCGTGCTATTGTAGCTGCTGAAACAATAATCGAAAATTAGATAGCAGCGTGCGAGCCTATGTGATCTGTATAAGAACCGGTATACCAAAAATGATTTTTCTTCTACTATATGTATATATACATATATATGTGTATATAAAAAAAAAGATATACATATATATATATATATATATATACGTATAAGTTAATATACATAAATAAGAGAACAATAAAGAGGAGTACAGAACAAAATTTGCATTATGAATTTTTAAAGGCCGATTCAAACAATTCAGTCGCAGCAATATAAATCTTATAGGGGCTTAGAAATATATGCAAGCATATAATATATACTGAATTGCAATCTCTTTCCACATTATATAATACAGCCGTATGTGTATATACGTCAAGCCTACAGGCAGTCGCACACCACTGAATCAATTTAATATACAAATACTAATTGTTGAAATCTGTCGATAAAACGTGCAATCCCAATTTATGTATAATAACGTCAAAGTCACTGAATTTGTGTGGTTTATGATTGCAAAAATATTGCTAAAAAAAAAAAAAAAAAAAAAAAAAGAAAGAAAGAAAGAAAATATACAAACATATGCACCTAGAACTGAATACTTGATTTAGTGTGAGTAATAAACTAAATTATCGGGGAAAATTTCATTGAATAAATTATTGGTACTTTCGCTCTATGTGAATCAAGTGGTGCACAACCAGTATTAATTGTACAACTGGCAATTCACTAGGCATGTCAAAGCTACTTTCAGCAAATGAGAAAAGTTTCTCAGTGTGCACAAAAATAGTACACAATTGTGACGGAGTGTAATTCTCAAGTTAGCACGGGTATGAACAGTGATGATAGGAATCGACAGATTCTGTTGTCGGATCGAGTCTCACTACGCATTGCCTTCTATTTGTTTCAAAGTATGCTCGGTATTTATGTACGATATCGCTCTAAAAAAGAAAACTAGATATTAAGAAAGGCTAAAAATTGGGAACTCACCTGTATTTTCTAACAGTGTTTTTGGTGTGTCTGGTCGGTTAATTATTTCGATAAGCTGTGTCAGAATCAATGGAATATATGCACTTGTATCAGGTCCTGTAAATTACAAATTACGTAAGTAATGAATTTCTTTTTTGTGTTTAATCAAAATTTTTAAGTTTATTTTTCATATTTACCAAGTTTTATCGAAATTTCGCCGATCGCCCAGGTTGCATTGTTACACACTGATATAAATTGTGGATGCAAATTTTGTCCAAGTATAGGCATAAACTCGGCTGTGAACAAAAATACGAAAGATTTAATATTAAGAAGGCGCGCACACACATTTAATGAACTTAGTAAATATTGTCAAGTTGTAAATATATACTTACGTATACAGGGGAGCACATGTTGGAAGCAAGCTTTCGTGAGGTCTCCTAATAAAGCAAAGCTGCTCTGGCGAACTTCAGGCATGCTATCTTGCATACACTGATATAACAGCTGCATAACATTGCTATTCATTACTAAACGTTCCATGTGACCATCCAGTCCTTCAGCTAATCCACTAAGAAGATCCAATGCTACTATCATGAAATCTTTATCAGGCGCCTCGAATTGTTCCGGGCTTTGAGTGCTTGCTATATGTTGATTCAGTGTCTGTTCGACAAGCGACACACACCGCCTGAAAAAATGAGTGTGTTTTATTATAAATTACATCCATTTGAATATTAAAAAACAAATTGTATATAAATTTATTCTGTCAACCTATTCCTTGTTAATCATACCTATAAACTGGTTCGCAATATGGTAAGAAACCAGAACGCAATGCAGTCGCTACCGAAGATAAACATTCTAACAAAGGAAATAGATCCTTGTCTTCATCCTTTAAAACATTCCACTTGTTAATAAGAGGTGGCATAAGGAGATTAATGTAATCTGGTCGGTTCAAGTGATGTCCTACAGAATCAGCGAGAGTGCCGATTGCATCGTACAATATCAGAAGATTTTTATGCTGATATTTACCTGTAAACAATTTATAGCGATCAATTATATGTTCTCTAATTTGAAACAACTATTCAATTTTGTTTTTCTAATACAGTTTTCCTGATATATTCACCGAAAGCAAAAACAAGTGTTTCAAGAATGAATCCAAGATATGGAACCAGCTCGGTGCAGGCTTCTTCTTCTAAAGTCGCAAAAGCGGAGCACGCAGCTTCTTGAACACGTTTATTACTGTCAAGCACTCTTTTGAGCAACTCTGTCATAAGAGGTTTTAAATGAGTTTCATGTGGTTGTGCACAAACCCAATGTGCATAACGACTTAGCGTCCAGCAAGTTATGGCTCGAACGAGAGCCTTTTTATCACTTAGACAGCCAATCAAGTAAGGTATCAACTCAGATAGATGAGGAATCATACCGCTCATACAACCTACGACCAATTATTCGCATAAACATATAAATTTGTATTGAAATTTACGTAAGTCTTTTTAAGAGGAAAAAATACGTACCTTCAGCGATAGCTCCCAATGCTAAGATACCGGACTCTTTAATTTCCCAAGAAGGGTGAAAAAGAGTTTCTTTTAAGATAGGTACCAAAACAGGAAGAAGATCTTCTCTGAAAACGTTAGCTAACACATCTAACGCTGCAGCTGAGCACTTCCTCAAGTTCCAATCGCTCAAAGTTGAATCGTCATCAGATCCATCCTCAACATCTATGTCTTCATCATCACATCCATTGTTTATACTGACGTTTACGTCGTCTGTGTGTTGTCTACCCATGCCGTTAGCGTGATGAGAGTGATGTGTCTTTGATTTATGAAAACGTGGTCGGATATCCTCTTCTCTATCCGGTATCATTTCATCTTCTTCTACATCTCCTTTAAGAAGGATTATGTCAATTTCGGAATACTTCATACCTCTTACCTACAAATAGAGAAAACAAAGCGTTAAAAAAAATTAAAAAGTAAACAATAAACTATTTTATTAAATTGTTCAAAATTCGAAAAGTTGAAAAAAAAAAAACTTACTAAAATAGGTACTAATCGTGTCAGATGTGGTGCAAGTGCTTCTTTACAAATCGGTTGCTCTGCAAGTGACAACCAAAATTCACACGCTTCCAATGCTACTCCCTCGTCAGCATCTTGAGTTCTCATTAACATATATTCTATTATATTGTGCATATGTGGTATTAATCTATCCATTCGTACTTCTAACAGCATAACCAAAGCCCTATGTAATCACACAAACAATCAAGATTTATAGTCACATTGGTAGCAAGGGAAACAGATGCATTTCTTTGAGATGCGATTGTAAACTCACCTGCATACATTTTTTCTAACTTCAGAATCTTCATCTGAAGCTAGATGGAAGAGATTTTCCAGAAAACTGTCTATGTGTATCATAAGAGCTTGCGTGCGTTGAATAATAAATTGGTTGACACACGCTATCGCATGGGATCTGATTTTGGGACTTGAGTGTCTAAAAAAGTGAAGGAATTTAGGTATCAGAATATTCAGAGGACGATTTAGAGCATCTGAGTCCAATGTTTCCGCTGAATCTTCACAAATCTTCTGTAACGCGCCAAACGCGCCTTCGCACACGTTGTAATCTTGCGAATCTAACATTTGACATAATGCTGGCAATAACTCTGGCCAAGTTGTTAAGTCACCTAGTTGCGGAAATATAAATCATTATAATTAAAGAAATGTACACACACAACCGTAACTTCGACATAATAAAATATAAAGCACCTTTTGATGCAACGGTAGTGATTAAAATACCAACGGTTGCACGAATCAGCGGAGACGGATCTCCAACTGCCGATAGACATTCTTGTTTTATGAAATTTATAACTTCTGGTAAAAACTTATGGAAATGAGTTTTTACATTGTTCTTAAGTATCAGTCCACTCAGAGACCTGGTAGGTTCATCTAAAACAAAACAAAACTTGTAAGTTCACATATGTTTAATTCTAACTGCAATTGTACGAGTTAAAAACAACTGGTAAATAAGTACATGTACAGAAAATATTGTAAACGTAAATAACGTACCTTCTGATGTAAGTTTTGTCAAAACAAATATCAAGTAGTTATTAAAATCTGGAAATTTGTTTAACTCTTCCAATTTCTACGGTAAAAGAAATTTTCGTTAAGGAAATTAACAGAGCGATCGATTATACAAACATAAATAAACAAAACATTAAAATATTCATACGAATAATAATTTTACAGTCGTATCTCAACATTGGATATATAAGTCCGATCTAGACCAATGGAGATTTTGCGCGTAAAAACTGTAAACTTCGGATCGAGTTACAATCGCGATTGTAACTCGATATGGCAATTCGAACAGGCCGAGAAATTTATTTACAACCGTAGCGCGGATGACCGAGTCTAATGAGAAAAGAGACCCGCGAAAGTTATCGATCAGCGGACCGCGCCGGGAAACCAAGCCGCGCGCAGCACACGAGCGAGCGACAGGCAAACAAGCCGGAATCCGCGACCACCGAGCGCACAGTGTTGACATATTTTCAGCTTCTGTTCGACGCAAAGCGAACGGATTGCGACCGATTTGTCGCCCCATGAAAAGTCTGATCTAGACCCGGGCGACGTTCGATCGGTCGATCCTGACGAACCGCGTGACAGAATACGCGAGGCGAGATCGAATAACGAACGTTTTTTCCCAACGCGATATACACTCGCGAAGTCAACCGTGGCTCGCGAAAATCGTCGTCGCGTTCACAATCGATTTTAGGCGCACGAAATAAGGAAATTTTGATAAGACGCGGAAAAACCGAGACACCAAATAACGACAATTGGGTTATCCGCGCGCGCGTCTTTTTTATTTCCCACACTCGGCGGCCACGTATGTGCAGCAACGAACAGCGACAACGACGACAACGAGCACGAAACCGGAACACAAAAATACACTTGATGAGACGAAGGCAAAAGGATACTTGTTGTACGGCACGCTGGGTCGCCGTGTCCGGGCTCTGCGACTCCTTGAGCAGCGTCAAAATTTGTCTCAGTCCTTCTTCCTGAGGTTGCCAAGCCATTTTCATCCTGTTTTTTCAACAGCACCACCGTAACGCGTAGTCTGCCTTCTCTGACCTCGCAGATAAACGGAAGCTCTCGACAGCTCTCTCTCTCTCTCTTCCTCTCCGCCCTTGCTCAACCTTCCCCTCCCAAGATGGCGAGAGACAGGGCTGTGGTTGAGCAAGGGGGCGACACGTTCTTCCTTGTGGCGTCTGGATAATGTTGCTTGGTTCCGTTCCTCGTGAATTCGGTATCCACGTAAAACGGTTTTCTCGAGAACCAAATGTTTGGTGAACCTGCTCGTAGACCGATTGAAACAATTATTGAGATGTTTACAATTGTCGTTTGAAGATATAAAATCGTGACGTGTCACTTCCAAGTGTCAAACACATCAAGATTTTAATATTGGCGCCACATTCTTCGACATACGCGACGCATTCCTCGATATTCATTTCCAGCACTGCGAATCTACAATTCACGTCACGTGTACTATAGATTTTCAGTTTGCTAACAGTGAACGTAATCACGATTCCATTGATTTTAATATTTTGGACATCGCCTCTATGTGATGTTCATGCATCATGGCTGTGAAGTTTGTTTGAGAAATGACGTGTAAATCACCAGAGACCGTTTTCCACTTCAAGATTGGCTGACTCGGGCTAAAGCCCGTATTGCACGAGTTGCGGTTGACCAATCAGACGCAACCTGCTCAGTCATTGGCTGCATTTAGCAAAACAGCTGCTTTGTAGCGATCAAACGTGATTGGCTCATCTCTTCGGGAACCATTAATCAACGTCAAGTGCTGACGAGACAACTCAGCAATTGTTTTGCTGAACGCAATAGTAATTCGAATCCTAATGGCTGCTCTTCAAGCTATATAGATAGATAAGCGAATATAAAAAAATAAACAAATAAATGATCGTGTTCAACAGTGGAACACGTTTGGAAGATACTGAATTTACTACAGACATATACTAATTAATACTTATATTAATTCAAATTTATATAAGTAGAGAGAATGCAATTATTATTTTACTTATATAAATGTGTGTACAAATCTTGTTAACATATTACGGAAATCATACAAATTTATTTTAATGTGACAAAATTTACGTGCGTTTTTCACACAACCGCAAATCTCGTCACACTCTTACGATACTAAGTACATACTACAAAGCAAATCACGAACACTCGCTTCACAATCAACGAGAATATGTACCGCGGTCAGAAAGAACAAACTGGGACTCGATTAAAATTATTCAAACGGCAGAGAAGCAAAATAGCTGCAAATTAAGTAATAATATTATATATATATATATATATGTATGTATATATATACACAAAATATATTAGATCCGATCAAAAATATATTAGAGCCGCACTTTTATATCATTTAAACTTTTCCCATTTCGCATTGAAGACCACGCGTATACAAACTTAAACCTAAAAATTAATTTACTCCCTTAACTATATAGAGTCACTTAATTGTTATAGCTTCTTATAAATTTGTACTTTCGCGTTATTACAAATATTGACTTAGGGTAACTTTTGAAGTGTCAATCTTATTTACGTGATATGCTATAGAAAAATCCGTAATATATAACAACACACGAAAAATTCTGTTGTCTGAAACTATATATATGAAATTTTTTTTTATCTGTCTCGCTCTTTTAATCGATCTCTTGTACAAGAGATACACGTTTCTCGTACAAGAGATACACGTATTTATTATGTGAGAGACATTTATTTTACAAAATTTTACTTTTTATTTTTACTTTATTTAACGTAATTAATAGAAAGGCCCCCTATAGTGAGAATATTAATTTGTGTATATGGACAATGTCTCAAGAACACCATCAAATACCACAATGCATAAATGTGTGTGTAAATGATCATGATGTTCTATATATATATTAGCGATGCAACTGGTTTTATAAATTAAATGTAAATACGCACACAATGTAACACATACGTTTCGACAAATGGTAGAAACTACTTTCGTTACGCATGAACGTCAAAAATTAAATGTTCAAATATATATATTGCTTTGTGTGGAAAATCTAGTAGAAAAACAGTAAATAACTGATCTATATCCGCAATATATAGTTATTATACGCTATGGGCAACTTACTGAGCCGATTACGCGGTTGGAGTTTAACAGTAATAACAATAATTGAAGGCACAGAAGAGCTACAGATCGTTCATACTATGAATGATCTCGCGAAAGAAACAGAAACCTATGTTATATTCGATTAGTCTCTAAGCCGGTCTTCCGTGGACGCGGAACCTGTATAAACACGTGTAGTCCAGCTGTCCGTGGTTGCTGTGTATTTTTAATTCTACGTATTCGTACGGTCTGTTGATCGCTGTGTTCTGCATGCAAAAACAAAAACAAAATTGTGGATTACTCCGCAGCTTCAACAAATTCAAATTTTTCTTCGTGGAATAATGCACGACAGTAGAAATAAAAATCCGCGAGAGAAATAAAATATGTAAAGTAAAACACTTTTGTTAAGAGAAAATTATACCTGAACTGGGAAATATTGCAAATTTTCGTCGGAGAACGCAAATTCGTAATCGCCGAACAACACGGGCTCGGGATCATTTTCGCTCGTTAATCCCTGTATAGATGTGAATAAATATTAAGAACTTAGTACAATATTTCATACACGAAAAGAGACTTGTTTACATACCCAGACTTCAAATTTTTTGGGCGCGCTCGACATGTTTTCGTTCGGTAAGATTAATTTAGAAACGTGTTCCATAGTGAAACCGGTCACATAAATGATGCTTCGTAATTGTATCACAAGATATCCGGGAAAGTCCTGGAAAGCCCAACAAACACCGGGTTGCAGTGGATGCCCTTGTATTACTGTTCGTGGATTGCTGCTTTCGTAATACAAAGGAAAGCCAAACAGACTGAATGCTTTCGATTTGATATCATATTTCTGAGTGCATCGTGTACTAAGAACTTGACCACCTGTATGTACATAAACACAATTGATTGATTTATTGTTAACTTGTTCAATAACTGCATTCAATTGGTCAATGTGATACGAAACCTGCTGATTCCAAAGCATAATCCACTTGACCGGTTTTGTCCGCGTCGTATATTCGTAAAACTTCTTTCACCACTTTGCGTATGTGTCTATCCAATTCGTGAGCGTCTCCTATATTATTATTTCTATTGAAAACCATTTGATCTGTAAAGAATTTTTTATCATTTTTAATATTATTCTAACGTTAACAAAACCTGATTAAAATAGATGTTTATAAATATATGTCTGTGAACCTTCTTTGCTCGGATGAGATGAAAATAAATTCTGGCTGATTTTCGTCAGATCTTCTTTAGAAATTCCGGGAGGAAGATACCTAAGTAATATTTTTTCCACATGCTCCTCAATATTCTGACTCGCGATAGCTTCTGCATTAGCGTTGCAACAAGTTTTTACTTCCGAATAAAGCTCGCGCAATTTTTCAAATTCGTTTTTGACAACTCTAAGTTCGGTGTGCAGTATATTGTTCAGTTCACTGACATCCAGTTTGTTTTGCTCATTCGCAATTTTATCCTGGAAATATCATAGAATTTGAGAACTCTCTCTTTCTCTTTCTCTGTAATTATCTAATTATTGTTCTTATTTCTCAAATATGGAAACTTAAACTGACGTTATACTCCTTTGAGGAACCGACGTCGCTTTGTTTCTCTAAGCTCCGGGTAACATTCATAAGATATTCCTATAAAACACATCATAAAATACAGCACGATAAAAATACATCATAAAATACAAGAGAATTAATTGCAGGAAAATTAGTAGATTTATACCATTTGATATGTTTGTCCTTTCTCGAGCATTTCTATTTTACCGATCAAATCAGTTATCTCTCTATTAGAATCATCTTTGGGCACGTTTTTGTTAACCAATTTCTCTTCAATATTTTCACTCTTCTGATTGTCCCATATAGCCGGTAATACTTTATCTGTTATTGTCTCTGACATAATTTCAACATTAGGAATAAATGACATGTACCGAGCCGCGAGCCACAAACCTGAAAATATTTCCATATTTTAATATTTGATAGTTCATAGATTGTCATTTTCTTCTTCTTTTATACTTTGTGCTACTAATTTCTAACATGAAATTAGTGTGTCAGATGATCTAATTTTCTAACTTATAATTACAGCTACATACAAGAGATTAGATTTTCATGGCACATGTAGTAGAAATGCTCGAAATGAAATTAGTGTACAATGTGATAACTGAGAGAAGGATAGACGAAGGAACTCACCATTTTTTGATGACATCGATTCCAACCACCGTTCCGAGGTTCTTAAGCACAACACGCTCCAACTTTTTAACACCCAGTAGAGCATTCCTCCTTCTATCCTTCTCCCATCTCGTAAAATTTTATTTTTCACTTTTTTTAGATCGTAGCATAAAATATTTTTGTCGTCGTGACGCTACATCACTTCAACGGATTATATTCACATACAAAGGACACACACAACTAACATATATTGTATACATTAAAAATGTTTTACATCAACTTTTATAAGTATGAACGTGCTTGTACCATATAAGTTATCCATATCATCGAGAATCATTAAATATCAAATTATTGTTGTATTTATCTTTAATTTAAAAAAAAAAACCACTTATGTGGTGATCAAATAAAAAAGTGGCACATTTTACTTTATGCAACAACAAAGACTACTTATTCAAATGTTTATATATTAATATTTATGACATATATATTATATATATATATATATCTGTAAAATATAAATCTGAAATAAAATCTGATATAAATCTAAATATATATCTGTAAAATATAAAACCACTATATATATATTTTTTTTTTGTTTTTTTTTGTTTTTCGATGATGCACGCGACCGCGTTTAAACACACACACAAAATTAAACAAAAGTCGCGTATTAATATAGACTAAATGCATAATCAACTATAAGGTCAAACATAACACAAATATATAAATAAATTATATATATATAAAATACGTACGTATATCCACACCACAATTATTATGTTAGCTTCTTAGAAAAACCAAACAAATAACTGAATAAAATTATAATAAATATTTATGTGTTACAAACATGAAAAAAGTGTACGATCAAAACTATTAGCATACTTCTTTCTATAGCAGCTATATATATTTTTTCTCATAAAATGAACTCCAATTACGGTGTTTTATTTAAACTGAGGATTCATTTAAGGATAAACGTGATGTAACAATGAATACTGACCGTAAGCAAAACAAAATAAAAAATAACAACAAAATTACACACAAGTGTTAATTTTAAAATTAAATGGATGAAAGAGGTATGAAACATTATCTTCTTAAACGTCAGAGAAAGTTAAATGTAAATATTAATGTACTTTGTAAAACTTAAAGCCAGTAAGATTCAAAGTGAAGACTATTAGTTAATAAAATTCACATCTGAGAGAGCGCCATAAACTCTGTCTTGATTATTTTACTTGATATGTGTTACGTGCAACGTAAAAGAACATATGTAAATGTTCAATACTGCTTCCATCCACAAAAACTAAAACCCCACATTATATATATATATTTATATTTATATGTATTTAAGATTACTGTTACCATAAATTAATACTTTTTTTAATCAATCACCACTTTATATTCCACCCAATAGGAGGCATTTCAGGCAAAGACACGTTCACACTAGGTAAAAGATGCATAAAATAATTTTTTAAATTTACAACATATTGTGTAAATGACTCATAGATAAGAGATATTAAGTTTATAATATTGTTAAAGATGTAATAAGCCGTTTCAGTGACATTGGCTTGGACATTGCGCAGGAAGTCCATACAGGTAAAGAAATGCTCCTGCGCGATATAAGTTCCTGAAACAAAACAAGACAAAGACCAGAATAGGTTTATGTGCCTTTCTGGTGCTAGAATCCCGTGAAAAACATCGATCTAACTCTGCTTGAACGAATGGTTTTAGACGATCAAATAGATCAGCAGAAATAAAATAAAATCTGTTTTCTTTCTATTAAATTCCTCAAACAAGAAAAAAAGAAAGAAAAATAAGCGTAAAACTTACCAAACAGAAGCAATAACGGTAAGAGCGTGATCAACAGAATCTTTGGACATTTTTCCTGCAACCATTTTCTAACGCCGGTAAATTGACTTAATATCCAAGCATCCAAAACAAGTATTCTGACGAAGAAAAAGTATATGTTGTGCGTGTAACGATCTAAGCTCTGCCAAAATGCGCGCCACTTGGATTCTATAAATAATGATAAAAGAAAAAATTATCATGTTAATATTTATAAGAAAATAAGGATTATCGGCAGGAATAATATATTTATAATCCTGAAAAGAACAAACATATCTAATGCTTAAAAAATTTACCGTTATAAGATGCGTGAGAGGCACTATAATATTGTGTCTTTTTGTCTTTTCCGAACTTGAAGAACTCGATTGTTTTTCTGAACCAAAGAGCGATAAAAGTCGTAACATATGTAAACCATCGCACAACCCTCCACGTATTGTTAGTGATAGCTGCTGATGATGTCAAATTTTCGTCCAATTCGGTATCAGAGTCGGCAGAGGATGCACCATACCTCTCAGTAGATATTAGAGATTTTGGCGACGATAAATATCTGTTATAATTATAAAATTTTGTATATATATACATATATATACATGTTTTATCTAGTAAAAGTTTTAATAAACATATAAAAAACAAAATACCTTGGCCAAAACTCAGAATAATTTGGCTCTGAATAAATTATTTTCTTGTAACTTGAGTATTGTTCTACATGTGTTTTCTTATGTACAGTCGATCTCGCTGTGGAACTCGATGATAAGTGTGACATATCATAGATATTTTCGGACTAAATTAAAAAGACAAATTTGTTATACGTACATATAAATATACATTATATAAAAAGAAAATTTGATAACGATAATATAATTTAAGAGATAGCAATTACTTACCAAGTCAGCTGAAGTTTTGTCTTTTAAATCAACAGTATCTACATCACTAATTTTACTTCCTGTTGTTCTTTGTACAGTTTGGCTTAAAGTTTTATTGCTTATTTCGATACTGCTATCCGTGTCCGAATGTATAGATCTTCTCGACATATTAGGCATTGCTAATATACCGGGAGCTATCTCATAACGACACTGAGAGGCTTGTGAATACGTGTAATCTGTTTTTGGAAACACACTGAAACATTTACAGATTTTATTGTGTGTGTACAAAAAATGTAACGTTTATTTTTTTTTTTAAATAGCAATACTCTCTTGTCAACAATTCAACCAATACCATGAAAACTACACTATTAAAAATACATATTGTTTACAAAGGCTGCGTTCCGAGTTACGCATATGCGCGCATTTATCTATAGTATACGTTACGTATAATAACGAATACTAGGAACGCAGCCAAAAACAAATTGTACTTTTATGGGGGAATATGACCTTTTTAAGAAAACATTGTGCAAAAACATAACATTCGAGGAAATTAAGTAATATAAAAGTTGATTTCATTACAAAACAAAATTATTTAACATTTTAGAGTACACAAGATTATTTCAAATTGTGAAAAATAACAGGAAACATATATGTTAAATGCAGACTTCTTAATGAAATTTATAACCTCTCGAAGTATTACAAAATATCTGAAATATAAATGTCTCTTTAAAACTGTAATTGTTTAAAAAAAACGATTTACTTACAGTTTGTTTATTCTACTAATGGTCACTGGTAATATCAAAATTAGAAAGACTTCAAAAATTAGGTGAAAGAAAGAAATAAGACCATGAGATGTGCTTCATAGATTTGTTTTGAACAAACTGAGTAACTGATTCTAAGCACACACAAGTTCTAAGAAAACAATAAGGGGGATACAATTGTGTATGTTCAGTGTCCTCTCAAGAAGCAGAAAGTGAACATAATAAAACTCTGAGAAGTTGAATATTGAACAGAGAATTAACAAATTAAATCATTGAAAATATTAACAATTGACTTAAAAAACTAGAGAAACAAATTAAAACAAATTATTAGTGACTTTTTTTCTTGTTTAGATAACAATATTCATAATAATTGATTTATGATAAATATTATTACTTTAGGTATTATATTTCACTTATTTTGTTATAATCTGTTGATAAGATGTTATTAACTGCATAAAATTCTGCAGATATGCACACATCAACATTTAAGATATATTTAAGATATACTTACTTCCACCATTCACCAGCTTGTTTGTAAATTTCATACGCAGAACCTTGTCTACTTGAACCTCGTTCTTCTCTTTCTCCTTCTTCAGATGAATAATCACTGGTAATTAGCCTGCTTGGTGTAATACTTTTGTGCTTTTGCTCAGTGATTTTGTCAGATTTATCTCCTTTGCTTTCATTTTGACCATTTGCCAATAATTGTCTCTTAGCTCTCTGACGTTCCGATCGACGCTCCTTCCTTACGGTTGCATTAGAACTTTCTGACTTTGTGCTCTGATTATCTGTTATACTTCCTGTTACAGATCCTTCTTTACTTTCCTCTATTGTCTCCATACTTTTATCGTGTACCTTGGTACTACTGCCAGGTCTATGATTATTGAAAAAAAGGTAAGTAAAAAAAGACAAAAACTACTTATTTTTAACAATAATAAACATTATGCTACTCACACTGATCTAGAACCAGATCGTCTGCTGCTTGTTACTTCTCCTGGTGTATGAGATCTTTCTCTGCTTTTGTTTCTGAGATCATAATGATGTTCTGTTGTTTCTTGCTCTTGCAAGGAACGATTCGTGATCATGGGAGTGTGTGAGCGTGATCGGCTTCTGCTGCGCAGCTCATAATGATGCTGTTCATTCTCCATGTTTCTTCAAACTGATGAAACACACTAAAAGACTGACCAAGTTGATTGTGCAACCAAAGCAAATCTTGCAGCAGTGTTGTATGGGATTGATTCTACAGTTTCTACGTAAATTAAAAGTTTGTTGTTTTCTAAGAAATGAGATAGAGATAAGTATAGGGCTAATCACAATATACCAAAAAGTTTTCTTTACACGAAAGAAAATCACTTTTACAAAATCCTGTTCGCTGATCTTCTTCTATTTTTAGTCCTTCTTTCTTCCACGTACGATTTCTTCAAGCGTCAGAATTCGCGTACACGGAGTGCAATCACTCACTTCAATAGAGCCGACTACAATTTTCTCACACTTATGACAACATGAAATCCCGTGTTTTATCGCACACACTCGACCATCATGTCGGTGACGCTACTTAAATCTATATCTCTCAAACATCACTCGACCATTCCTGAAAGTACCGATTAAGCGTTTTATCAATCCATGTACAATGTGCTCCAAATATCAACATGATACGCTGAGAAATAATTTGCGCGTGTTAAGCAACGTGAATATAACGCTATTTATAGAAAACTCACCATTTCCACGCGCGACTAACGGGACGCGCGGGGTTTCTGTTGCGCAATAGATGCGCGATCGCATACGTATCAAGTAAAAAAAACCTCAACGTTTCTCTTCGTCGTTTTCACAAAAAACTGTCTCTACGGCGTTCACATTTACATGCGCATATTACAACACGGTGCGTAGTACGTTCCGCCGACTTGTCAACGCATAGAATGAGATGCGTGCACGCGCGCGCATTTTAGACGATGATTCATACGCTCCGTGACCATTTCTTACGAGATCCTACTTTATACTAGAACGGAGAGAAAACCAATACTTGCAGAATTTTTTGTCCATCCATCGGTCTTGAGCAGACGACCTCCCGCCTGTAGATGAGAGAATCTAAATTTAACCACACACATGTACTGTGCACGCACATGTTTTTCTTCATCTTTGCGCAAAACTGAAGAAAATAACGTACAACACATGAGAAATAGTAACAAATATAACATAAGATGCGTTAATAAAATCTTAGCGTAAATATAATAATATTCTTAGATTTTTTTTATGCAAATAGAACACTTCTCTCAGAATGTTTTCCCAGACATAATAGTAAGTTTTTCAGATCTCACGCAGAAATTCAGGAAAAATTCTGTAAAAAAAAAAAACATTCAGATTTTAGATTGTTTTTCAAGAGTAAGAGAAATTTCATGTAGTATCCTACCAGAAAAAGCAAATAATCAGGGTACCGATTGTGTATTTATGCGAAGTAGTGAAAATTACAAAAGTGAGAAAGTTTACTAATTGTCGACTAATAAAATCACAGATATTTTAGTAAATTTTCTCACTTTTGTAATTTTCACTACTTCGCATAAATACACAATCGGTACTCTGAGTTCTGCTGAACGTAGTTATCGTCGGTTAAGGCTGGATCCTTATGCAGACACCGGATTGGCGATTTGACACCGAGCGTTGATTGGTGAAAAGTGAATGGTGAGAGTAAATTAGGGCTGCCATTTACCCTCACCATCCGCCAATTTCACCAATCAACGCACGGTGTCAAATCGCCAATCCGGTGTCTGCATAAGGATCCAGCCTTAATCGACCGATAACTACGCGTTCACCAGAACTCAGCGCTTATTATCTGTGATTGGTCTCTTCTTGTAAATCTATCGGTACCATGAAAGAAACAAGCCAGTGGCAAGCAATAATAGCAAAGCGCTTGCTCAAGCGTTGAGTTCTTATACGTATATGTTCCACGCAACTTGGACATGCGCCTGAGTTCGTTAGTGGCGGGCTTTGGTTTCTGATGTCTTTCTCTGTCCGTCTGGGATTTTTGACCTTTTGCCGATTTTCTATGCACGTATTACGTGTTGCAACTTTCAATTTTGAAACACGAAGTATTAAAGTATACGAAAAAATACTTGAATATGACAAATCCAAACAACTTCTCGGAACCGCAACAATGTTCCCAAGAAACCACCTTAATAATGGATGATGAGACGTATGAGGTACTAGAGCAGGATATCGGGGAACTGTAAGTAATTCGTATAAATTATTTATAATTAATTATATAAGATCAATTTATGCTCTCTCTGTGACCAGATTGTTGGCTTTTTATACAGCAAATATATGTATAAAAATACTAAATATATATGTTACGACAATTGTTTGCTAATTTGCGCTCTCGCCGCAAATTTTGATAAAATAATGCATTTGACGTGCTTTTGCGCAAAACAAAAGAATCTGACGAATAAAAGCGCCGCTCCTAATCGCTCTCGCAAAACGATTGATTAGATGTCGAAGGTGACGTCAAAGGTTAGAAAACCGGTTATTTTTTACGCATTCGGTAGACCAAGTTGCTTTGTAACAATCAAACGTGATTAATTCTTACTTTTAGAATCAAAAATCAACAATTCGAATGTTGATGAGACGATAACTCCGCTGAACATGGTCGTTAGTTGAAATATGACGTAAGCATGCGTACGCAGTTGAAGGCTTTGTTTACGCGGACAATACCGCTAACTTATACCGGAACCGGTAAAGTTCAATTAATAAGATTTTAATGTTTCTGTTCGTACGCATTCGGCAATTTTGTACAAACAGAAGCATTGAAATTCAATAGTTGAACTTTACCAATTCCGACATAAGTTATTGTTCGCATAAACAAGGGTTAATTCGCGTCTGACAACCGTTACAAATTTCAAACAATAAGTGTTCGTAGCGTGCTTACATGTCAAGTAAAATTATGAGACGGAAGAAAGTTTAATAATGTTTTAATGCAACGTGGTTATATTAATATTACACTTGTGCATCTTAATGTTCTGATATATTATTTAAAAGAAAGAAAATTTCGAGAATTCTCATTCTTTCTCTTTTCATTGTTACGTGGTGCGGATGGTCTTCTCCTCTTTCTCTCACGCGCATCAAATAAGCATAAATTTATTATTATTGATGTGTGTTCTAACACAAATATCACAATTATGCGTAATATAACTTATTTATGACATAATATTATAATTATCATATTTCGTTTTTTTTTTTTTTTTTATCTATAAGCGGAAGTGTTGACAACTTAGCAAGTCATCTTGAAGAAGAGAAACCTGAACCAAATTTTGAGAAAAATGAGATTCTTCCATCTGTACCAAACGAGTTTTATGAAGAAGAGGATAATATAGTATATCCAGATTTATTGAATTATTACAATAATAATCTTCAGAATTATGTACATCCAAACACAAATACAAATATACAGTTCCAATTTACTTTTGGACAAGGTGGTGAAGACCAGGATTGGGTAGTAAGTGTTTCAATCAGTCCAAACTTTAAGAAATTGTAAAAGTGCATGACCACAGTTTTTAAATAATATTAATAAATATAGAGTGGCATATGGACTAGTTCTAACCAGTCCAAGAGCCATACACGCACTAAACCAATAAATATATAATTATTACACCATTAATTAATATTTAAAAGAAAAGGATCAATAAGAGTTATGCAAATATTGAAGCTTAAACAAATACTTTATGGTACACACTTAATAAAATTTTAAAAATGCTTTGATTTAAATTGCTCTTATGTATTTATATAAATTATAGTGTAATAATAATTGATTATTTTTATATATATATGTTAAAGAGGATCCTAATTTGGGTCAAAATGTTTTCAATTTTATTAAATTATAAATTTCTGGCACTTAATACCTTCATTTTATCTCTTATCTTTTTTATTATGCTTTCAACTTTTTTTTATTATACCTTTTTTGTAATTTTTATGTATATATCATTGAGACAACTTTTTATCAATACTAATATTTTAGTTTTACCAATCTAAATCTAATCTTTTTTTTTAATACAGTAGTGTTCCACATTTGATATATCTTTTATGTTTGAGAAAAGGACAAGCATGCACATAGAAAAAGAAAGAAGGGGAAAGAAGTGTGTTATACATAGAGTGTTATCAAGGAAATTTTAATTTGATAATGCTTTGTTTGTTTGTATATAGTACTCAAAATCTTTGGACAAACTCTTCATCAAGATGGAAAAAATTGTTCCAATGCGGTTTCATTGGGAACAAATCCTAAACCCTTTAGGATTATATATACGCACGAAGATGGTTTACAAAGTAGAGCAATATAGAAACGAACCAGTGAGAAGATGTCACAATCACATGGCACCAACCTATCATATTAACCAAAAGTTGGATCCAAGTGTACTTCCATACGTTGTACATTGCGTTAACCATCGCGGGGCCAGTTATGAAGTGCACGACAATCATCTTTCTATTCTAACGCAGCTTGGATCTTACGAACCGGGTACTCAATATGAGCCAATGTGTTTTCAGTTTTTATGCAAAAATAGTTGTCCGTCAGGCATGAATCGCAGACCGACTGAATTATTATTCACTTTAGAGGATTCTGAGGGACATGTTTTGGGCCAGAAAGAACTGTCAGTTAGAGTATGTAGTTGCCCTAAACGAGATAAATTAAAAGAGGAGAAAGAATTAAAAAAAACATCAGAGGAACTTATTCGACAAAATTCAGGAAACAAAATGTCTTCGTGCGATACACACCCTTATAAAGTCGATATAAGTGTTGCTGGGAAAGAGAATTTTTTGTCGGTTCTTAAATATGCTCACGATGTCATGGCCGGTCAAGCATCAAGAACCGGTCAATATCAAGCTTTTAAGCCATATATGGATGCCATTTTACGGAAAATACCTTAAAATACCTTAAAAAATACTTTAATACATTAACTCTAGCTACGACACGCTCTAACGTAAGATTATCCGCTGTTTGCGGCGCGATATTTACATGGAAATGGTTAAATGATAATATAGTTTTATTTTTTATTTTTTTAAAATACTTTTTGCATATCTGGTAACAATTGGATACTATTATACCTGATCTACAACCAGGATTAAACTATCTTAATTATTTGATTTTTTATGCTTTAGAAAAAAATGATTTATTAGATCCCATCAGAAGTTAAAAAGTAACCAGAATGATTTTATACAATAAATTGCTATACAATATGCAATAAAATAAAAAACAAAACAGTTTTGTGTTAGAGTTTAGTAAACAGATTTTTTTTTATAGGATTTACTTAGCGATAAGAAATCTTGAATTAAGATTTATATACAGTCGGTACTGCCAATGTTTTATAGCATATACAGTTACATCAAATAATGTCTTTTATTACTTAAGATATTGTTGCAACTTTATGTGTTAGGATATTTACGACACTGTTACAAAAGAACAGAATGCGTTAAATAAGGTTTCTCGATACTCACGCAGCTCATCTTGAATTTTGATGTCTATGGATTAAATGTGAGTTTATGCGAAAATATTCTCTTCTAAATAAAATAATTTTCACGCTTCTGACAAAATCTAAGATAGCCACGAGAGTATCAAGGACCCTTAAGATTTTTGTATGATTTTATAGTACATTAAGATTTTGCATGTTTCTTTCATAGAATAAGTATTATACGTTTGTTATACCGAAATTACATATAATCTATGTAAGTATTGGAAAATACAGTCATGCGACTTTACACGTAAGATATATAATATAGTTACCTTTTGCGACGCCTTGTTAGCTATTAAGAAATGACAAAAATAAAATTTTACTTTTTCACATCAGATGCTTGAGGTGTTTCAATTGCAATTTAAAAATTAGTGAATTAACTAAAATCAAAAATAGAGGAGGGTAAAGGAACATTGTTTATTATTTTTAGACGTATAATCTGTCATGACTTCGATTTTCTAATATTTGAATATTGAGAGTCCTTGACAATAATGTATCTGACAATGGTGCAATATGTTGCGCAGATAATGTTAAAGGATCTTCGAGACTTGCAACATATCTTCGCCATCGCACTTCCGTATTGTTATCCAAAGCATGTAATGTCCATTCCCACATATTGTGCGCATGAGCTTTACCAGGGTATGTCATCCATGAGGTTTTATCTTTACACTATATTTTTATAATAAAAACATTGTGATCTCTATTAATGTACTTTTTAATAATATATGATCTCGTTAATATCAATGTATTTTTGCATAATGTTTTTTAAATAATAATGTAACCTGAAGAAGTTTCAGTTGTGAAATAAAATTTCTACATTTTATGCGTTCTTGTTAAAAGATTCGGAATCTCATACCTGAAAGAAAAATATGTTACTCCCATGGTGCAATATGTACAGAGCATCGCATCCGAAAGGAAGTGGTAGTGGGAGTTTGGCGCTTCCGGAGTAAAAATGAATTTGCGGCACAGCGTGACTCCTGAGATGCTCCATTAACGAGTCGGACGTGACCACTTCCCTGCAAGAATGCAAGAGAGGACACGCCAGATATATACAAGACATAGAATCCACGGAGCCGCTCCATACTGGCGTCTGTGGCAAGCTCAGCGACTGCTGACTTGTGTTCGTCGCGGATAACTCAACATTTTGCGAAGACGCGTCATCGACACGAGTTGTGCTGTCTCTTGACAACTCGCCGGTACTGGCAGACTTGGTACGATTATTTAACGACAATCGTACACTCAAACTGTTACTGTCTGTTATTTTATTAGAAATTATTGTCGTTTCCTCTGACATTTCAGGTACCTTAGTCAGATTTTCTGCGGAAGCAGCTTTTTCTCTGCCACCAAGTAATAATCTGGCCAGTAAGAATTGTCTTGGTTTTAACGAGGAATAATCAGTTTTTGACCGGTTGGTGATCGGAGCTTCTTGTTTTTTATTATTTTTACCGAACAACTCATCGCGCAAATTGTAACGATCGGATGCGACAAGTGTTCTGTCCAGAATTTTGTCGTTGTTCACATTGAAAGTGTCGCGGAGCATTCTGTGCAGTTTGTCAGCAAGAAGACATCGACCCTGACCAAGACGGACTCTGCAAACAGGACAACGCGTTGTTTTCGATCTGCAAATTACGCACAAAATGTGACCGTGAACACATTGCGAGACCGGGGGCGCAGCACTTTCCAAACAAATCGGACATTCTAAGATGCGGACCTGAGAGAAAGAAAAAAGTTAAAATAAAAAACTTATAGAAATAAGTTTTGAAAAGCTGTTTTTGGTCAATGTAGAAGTAATAAATTTATTTATCAGAGTCCAGTCATATTGGGAGATACGTCGTGCGTACGCACCGTTCCCGATAACGCATTTGCGAGATTCCTAGCTACATCCGGAAGTGGACCCTTCAAGGCTAATCCGATATTGCTTTGTTCTTCTTTCTGATGCGTGTATCTCCAAATAGAAAAGTTCACATCGTGTTCACCGTTGCTACGAATCAAAGTAGCGATATCCTTGATCTTTAGACCTAGTAAATCGACATCGTCAACGCCCAATAAACAATCGCCAGCTCTGATGAAACATAAATGATCAATCGATTATGATTCGAATACAAATCGCGCGACTATAATATCATTTATTTTTCCGATTTTATTACGTTCCAAAGTAGTTTTCAGATTCCGATTAATACTCACATAAATCCTGCTAGATCGGCAGGACTGTTATTTTCGACGTATCCAACCCACGGGTACGGATCCCATTTTGACTTAGTCAAGTGAAATCCACAAATTTTATCCTGCACATTTGTATTGAATTTCCGCATTGTGAGAACCATCTTTCCTGGCGGAAGCGAACTTGCTTCCTCTTCCGGCGGAAACGTAACGATTTTCACATCCGGCACCTTCGCTTGTTTCTCGGAACATGAGGTATGTAACATGTTTCTTCGAAGGGGATTATCATGTGCACAAATAGAAGTCACCTCATTCTTTCTCAGTGATATCAAATTTTGTTTTTAGCAACTAAAAATGAATATATTCTAGCTAGAAAATATATGTGTATGTAAGACATAAATTTATCGATGCACGTGAGAAAACGCACTGACTTTATTCTTGAGATTACACGTAATGTATTAATTCACTTTGACTGACGAAGTACTTTGAAAATCATTAATACAACTTTGGAAGTTGATCGCGTCTGATTCTTCGGACGAGAAAGAAAAAGTCACTCAGCCCGTTTACCTTCACCGATTTAAATGTTCTTGACATTGGATTTACGTCATAGTATATAAAGACGAACAAGCAATTTACCTTTTACTTTAACACGGCGATATTTTTTAAATAACATATAATGTTTTGTAAACATTAACAATAATTCGCAATGTATATATTTTGCAGTCAATTATATATATATTTTTTAAATATTTACATTTTGTGTAAGTAATAATTCTTTTAAAATATACGAAATAAAAGTATTACAAATCATTCTTAAAATGTATATCAGGTATATATTATTAGTAGATTATATATTTATACAGGAGCAAAGTTTTATATTAATTCTATTGTTTTATAATATAGAGAAAATTATTATAATTTTAATGCGATATATGTATTTTTAGTGTTAAACAGTAAGATGAGAAAGAAGTATACATTACTTGGTCCTAAACAATCAACTTTCATATGGACATATTATAATATTGCATAATAAGTACTATTGCATAATAAGATACATGCATGCATGTTTTATACATAAATTACATAAATTTCAAAAGAGTTATTGCAGGTTTTCTGATATAATCTCTAAAGTATTATACACTTTATACAATGTTTAGGAAGAACATACTTTAAAATTGTCATTGAGCAGGCTGGATTCAAGTGACACACAAAAAAGGCAGTTGTTTTTCTAGATACATTAATTTGATTACCTATGCAATATAAGCATGTGCGTTAATATATAAATCTTCTTTACTCAAAATAGTGTATATAATTGAAGTTTAATAAAACAAAATTCAAGATATTTAAATATCTGGAAATGGTTTAAAAATTTACTGACATTTTTAGTGTTTTTTTTTAAATAAAACGTGCGAACAAGAGTAATGAACTATTATATTAGTTATAACAATTATAATGTAGAGATATTACTTAATGTCTGAAGCCAGCCTACAGATCATGGATAAATAGACACTTACTTGAAATATCTCAAAGAATGGAGTGGATATCTCAATAGTCATAATTTCTATTCAGAGAGAGAAAGGGATATAAAAAAATTGTTACATTAATAAACATAATATGTACATAATAAATTTGTTACTGATATAATATATTGAGACATTGGCTTAACGTATGTAGAGTAGTATGTGACATAGCTTTGAGAACTAAGAGATCCGGGTCTAAATGTAGTTCCGAGTTCTCAATAGATTGTGCTAAGGCAAGATTATGTTTCTCCACTTTCCTCAATTGTTCCTGGCAATTGGCAAAGGCATCTAGCACTTCCAATTTAATAACGGGATTTCTGCTCGAATTTCCTGAATGTTCTCGAGGTGGCAGTGGAGGATGACTGCTAGCTATAGCCCTGGTGTACATCTCTGTAACTGCCCTCAGCTTGTCCACCCATTCCTGACGAGCTCGTGCGTCCGTAGCTCGTAGTTTGATCATATCACCTGGAAGGATATTGCAAAACCGAACGAATAGATTTAACGAAACCTGTAATCTACTTTACATCTTTTGTTTCTTTATCACACTCATGATTTGTATAAGTATAAAAGATATGATTAGTGCAACATATTTTAATTTGAATAAACAATATTTGCCTGTAGCGGAATTGACGGTGAATGTATTCGAATCCTCATCGCTCGGAGCTATTACAGCACCTGCTAAATATATCGAGCATCGTGGCCTGTGATTTTTTTCAGACTCACTGAGGAAGTAGTGCAGTTCACCGGTCTCAGGACTCAAGATGAACCAGCGATACTGCCAGCCTTTCATGGCATTTGTGTACTTGTGCAGCAAACCTTCGTAAGGGTGTCTTGTTTGTACGTTCATCATGTATTGCTTTGGTTTGTCGGAAACCTCTTACTTTCGAACGGCGGGAATCTTTCTTGTGATATGTCATCTGAGCTTGACTACACGCTTGATAACGCGATCGTACATACACAACTGATTCATTCGGGAAGGGTTAGGTCAGGTTACATCATCTTTCGAGTAAGGTTAGAACTAAGAACAAACATTGCCTTATTACGGTCAGAGAGAAGTCTGAGAGCGGCCAAGGTCCATAAGAGAATGTGTAATCACTTTTCCGCCCCGTAAACTAGCGCATGTCCACGGGTGGTAGACATTGGAACTACGCAGCCAGTCCACGAGCGACATGTCGGTACGCTATGTCCACAGCGTGCGGTTCTATTCCGTGCTATGTGCACGAGTTTAAATGGTCACTTTCTTTAAGTGTGTGAGTATATTCGAGAGCGTGAATTTGATTTATTTCAAGAATTAAAATAGNCGATTTGTGAACTCAGGAAGGAGAACAGGAAGAAATGGAAAATATACAAATTTGCAACTTCCCACACAACATACACGTAATTGTCAACAAAGGAAAATATTTTTAAGCGAGCAGCATCAGAATTCGTAGAGTGTACTCAGGTACCATCTCCTTTATCATCATTTGCTGCTATTTGCTTTTATTTTTTTACAAACGCTACATATATATATACGTATAGTTACATTACAAAGTAAAAAAAACGAAATAAGTACATTATTTAAAATTGGTTTGACGGTACACAAATATATGTGTGTATGAAAAGTTGCATTTTCCAAAAATATATCTTTTACTGGTGTATTACAATTTATCAGAGTGTGTNACAATTTTTGAGTTTTACAATTTTACAAATTTTTTACATATACATTGATACAATAAAATACATACATAATGAAACATATAAAGCATAACGCGCGCGTGACAATATTTCTGGCGAAATTACACTTGTTGCATGCTATTCTCCTTATCGNACATTAAACTCTCAGTGAAATTTTTCTTTACTAATGTTTTACAATTCGAATTCTTATTATTGAAATTNTTTTATAGTTTTTACATACAATAAGTGTAATTTACTCTTACATAAACGGAATTTAATCTACATGCATATGCAATGATTCACAT